ATTTCATCCTGTCTGCATTGAGGATTCTGGAGAAGAGGATCAGAGGGGGTTGAACTTGCAAACTACAGGTTGATTTCCTTCAATGTAAGTCATTCCATATGACTTTACCAGTAGGACAAAATCAGAAGTCTTCAGGTGCTTGTGGGGGAGATGTTTTAAGAACTCCCACTGTCCCTAGACCCTTGGTTTGCTATGGTGACCCAGGTTTGTGCAAAGAAATCTTCCTGAGAAAGTGAGAGAGACAGGCGCAGCTGAGCAAGCCCAGGGCATTCGCTGTGTCTGGTGAAAATTATAGTTGTTATATCATTACGCTAGCCTGCATAAGCGAGGCATCACGTTCAGATAGCCTACTGGGGGAAAGAAGATTGTTTAAAAGAGAGGTGCTTGGGAGCCCTGCAATTATTAAGGCAAGTTCATTCCTGTCCTCAGCTAAACGCAGCATCTTAGAACTCCATGGTCTAACTCCAGGCTCCACTTTGCAGCGATCCAGGTAAAGATGCACGCCTGATGCCCCTCCTTTAAGTCCACACCTCCATCAAGAGATAGAACAAGCAAAAGCCACAAGCTGTTGCACACCCAGATGAGCAAACTGGCGTGAGGCCAGGGAGATTAACATCAACCAGTTTATAGAGAATTTTCAAATTATAGTGAACCTTCCGAACCACTACGAACATGGAGTATTCCCATATCCCGATGGTCTTGACTTCAGTTGGGCAAGAGTTATGCTTCCTCTGGATTCCTTGAAAAGTTTTCTATCTAAACTGTTTCATCTGAATTGCTATTTTGGCCAGAGGAACATCATCCCCCCCCCCTTTTTTTTCCTAGTTCGTAACTCAGCTCTTGACATATTTATTCTTACTTTAAAAAAAAAAGTAATTATGTTGGTAGGTGATTAAAGGAGCATCCAGTGCTAATCTCTCTGGTTCTCCCTCTAAAACGTGATGGATTTTTAGATACATTCTTTTGGATTTAGGAGAGGCAACTGAAGTCTTTGCCATTAGATTCATACCTTGCCCTAAATAATCATGTGGTTAGTTTGGCTTGGGATATTGTTGTGAACACAGTCTTTGTGGTTTTTATTAGGGCTGCGCACACTTTCACAATGATTCGGAAGATGCTTCCGATAGAGTGCCAACACAGCACAGCACAGCTCTTCTCTCCTACTCGTAAAAAAGGCACACAGCATAACCTAATTACAAAAGCAGGTCATTTGCATACTGCCATCACAAACCACATGTTGTCATTTTTCACATCATCATGGCTTGTTATAAACACCTGTGAACGGTGAAATATTGGAAAGGCAGAACTGTGTATCAGATTGCCTAATCAACCATATCAGCTAACTTGCTGCCCTGCAGGGAAGCCCAATTTCCAGGGTAAAACTAAGTGTAATGGTAGGTGGGAAAGACCTTGGGAGACAGGGGGAAGAGACGCTGCTGAGGGAATGGTCAGATAAGAGACAGCATAGCCCACAGCTGGATAATGGGTGAGGCAAGAGGCTCAGGAGGGACTCTCCCTAGTTTCTCAGGCTGTAAAGGAGATGGCATAAGGGACGTGGTGGCATGGCTTAATGACGCTGAAAGTTGCCGGCCAGAAATGGTCGACACTTCAGCAGTTCAAGCCCAGGTCAGTGTGGCAGAGTGAGCGCCTGTCTCCGCCCCAGCTTCTGCCAACCCAGCAGCTCGAAAGCATCTGCGAGTAGATAAATGGGTACTCTCACCCCGGTGGGAGGAAAAACACTGGTGGCACCTTACACGGGAGACGGGACCAGTTGCTGGGAACGTGGAAGTCA